ACACACACACACACACACACACACACACACTCACACACACACACACACACAAGCACACACACATTCACGCTCACATACACACAGTCATGTGTGCACGCATACGCATACACATACGCAAACACACATGCATACGTGTAAATGAAAACATTATGCATATACATATAGCATATATCATTATACGCAATGTTTGAAGATTTATTTATAGTATATAACATATCAAGTCCTGCCCTCCAAAGTTACAAAGAAGGTTTGAATGCGGTCAACTGAACATTACTTGTTATTTCAACTTTAGACTGTCTCATGTAATTAATACATATTTTGTCGTACTTTCTTCTCTCCTAGTTGTCTTGGAAGACCGATTCGTCTGCCTACGAGAAAACTTCGAGGGCTTCCGCCTCCAACTCCAAGAACCGCCTACAAATTCTGCCCACTTCCTCTCCCATTTTCAGAGTTCTTTTGTAGTTCTGGGAATAAATCAGGAGGTGTAGACTCATAACCGAAGAGGTCAAAATCTCTCTGCAGCAGTTTCCGTACTTTCAGCCTGTCCGAGAGCGGTAACTGAAGGTACAAACTGGCCATCATTTGGCGCCGTTGTTTTGAGACGTCAACCCTCCCCACAGACTGCTGGTGGGCGTCCCAAGCAATATCGGCGAACTCTTGAGGTGTGATCGTGTTACAGTCTTCTCCCTTCACGGGGAGCTGGAGGTCCATAGCAATAAGACCCCTGGCGTGAAAAGACCACCATGTTCTGCTGAGCATTGTACACATATTCTCACATTTGGTCACACTGTCTCTGAAAGACACCACAGTGGATGCCTTGTCTTTGAGGGTGACTTCTTCATCGTTCAGAGTACCTTTCAAAGTAGCGTTCATGGATTCATAAATATAAGCCAGATCGTCCTCAACAGTTTCTAAATGTGCAATAAAATCGTAATCAAAGTAACAGAATCTACATTCTTCAGACATGGGCTTGAAATGTCCATTTTTTTCTTTTCCGGTTTCTTGAGTATGAATGAAATATTTTACAAATTCTGCGAAAGTTACATCAGATCCACATTTAAGACTCTTCTGAGAAGGCTGCAGGCGGAAATTTCTCACGATATCTCTTCCGTGACTTAACCACCATTCGGTCCGAGTAAAGATTTTATCAACGTATCCAGAAATTAAACGCTTGTACGGATCTCTAACCATCACAAACGATTTAAATTCAGTGACATTACTTGGTTTTACGTCCTCTTTCTCTTCCAAGGCGTGCAAGCCTTTCATAAACGTTGATCCGACCTTTTCTAGGCCACACAGTTTGATCTTCCCATGAGCTAGCGACACCTCCAGCCCTCTTTGCCTGGCCACGGACTTCGGTACCTCTATACGAGAGCAAGCTCTACGTAAATGTTCTTTTCGTGCTTCCAACCGAGATTGTATGAAGTTGTCGACAATGTTGAGGTCGGCATTATTGTTAACGGCAGAAATGTTTTCATGCTGAACAGTCAGGGCACCTCTCATCCGTTCAGGCTCCTCTATAAAGACAGCTGGTGGCATTTCCTGAAAACAGCAAAAACGAAATGATATTTCAGCAATTTTCTTATAACCCAACTTCCTTCCTTCGTCTGTTTTTGAAAATGTAATCTTTTATCAGGCATTGAGACAAATATCATAACGCCACCATATTTCAGTCAATTGATATTGTCCACTCTGCTGAACTCC